CTTTCTCTTTTATTCATAACGCCTACAACGATGCATCTGAATTTAATTGTTTTCATTTTGTTACTAGCTTGCATTGCGCTTCTGACTGAATATTTTAATTGAAAAACTTAAGTCAGTATGGAATGTCCACCCATGATTTACTTACATAATTTACTAAGTAATAGCCACGACATGACAGCTTATTGCTGGATTTCCTACTAAATGTAGAGTCAGTTCGATAAAAAGGTTGAAATTAATTGCAAAATTGGCTATTGTATTAAATAATAATTCAGAAGCAATAAAATATGTTTTTTCAACGTCAAACATTTGTTAAACTTTGTTCAAATGTTAATGATCAACGAAGTCGTAAATATTATATTTCTAATAAATCATAATTATAGTAATTATACTCATTACGTGAAAACTAGGTGTCTTTTCATGTCAAATTCCGTTATGGAGACTCGTGAATGAACCTGAAGCTTGTGAGTACGATTGGTAGAGTGAAGAGGAAAGTATGTCGGTGGCGCATGCCGGTCGGGGCGGTGGCGGTCTCGGTCGTAGGTTGGGGCGAAGTGCGATCGGCAAGCGGCTCGAGTGTCGGTGACCCCGCAAGCGCCCGGAATGCCCCGCGGGGCCCGCGCCTATCAACGACCAACAACACTCTAGCACCGATGACAACGGTTCTATCTACTACGGTATCACGCTGTTACATAAATGCTATTTAATAGGTACTGTTTACAATTTATTTATCACTCTATATTCCAAAATGTCACCAACATTTTTGTCCTTAGCATTTGATTTCTTTAAAGAAATACGTTATTTACTGTTGATTTAAATGAATTACGTTTAGTGCATAATGAATACGACGCAGCATTAAATTATTGGGTAATTACGCTCACATTGTTTAGTCTCACCACATACGCAACGATAAATAATTAAACATGTCAATCAAAACAAAATTATGTCAACACTAGAGATGCACCCGTGCAGATCCTCATATCCGTCAAATATCCGAAAGTTGTTAATCTTTTATTGTTTTTGAGATTAGTCGATTTTAATTTATTATTTACAAGTTTATAAGCTAAGTTTATGATTATGCACATCGTACTATTACACTTAATTTTAATGTAATTATGTTTTTTAACGCAATATCACAGCAATCCAATGTTTTGCCATTTTTTATTGATACTTGTTCAGGTATGGAAATTAGCAACACAACGATAGGTCGATTGAGCGTATAGGTGGACGACTTATTTTTTTTTAAAAAGGCATGCTTATCTCGCACGGAAGGAAAGAGAAGTAGGCACAGCTCAATGTTCAGTCTGTCAGTTTACACATTCGACACGAAGGAAAATTATAACATGGCGCACACGGCCTCGCCCCGCCTCGGTTACAATGTGCCGTCAAACCTCATTCTACCGCTTTGCCGCCCGGTTCCGCAGTTATTTTTACACAGACCGACCTTTCGCACCGGTCGTCACCGCACTCCAGCTTAACTAATTTTGTCTACGCACGTCGCACTCACAACTATTTTTAATGGATATTCACTATATTTAACACATTTAAAGACGATCAACTCCATTTCTTGCTGCTTGCAGTTGATTTCCCTTTCGTACAAAAAATGTAAGGCTTCGTTGTTGTGGCATAGAGGCGTCTGTCCACGCCGGCTGCCGCGGAGGCAATGAACGGGGCGGCGGTGCGACGGCGGCGGCGGCCTGGCCCGTCAGCTGAGCGTCACACCGCCGCGACATTGCAAGGTCCGCCCGTACTGCTTCGCCTGACCCACTGCTCCGGCCGGGCCAGCCGTCCGTACCGCAGGGGCCGGCCTGCTATACGACTGTGTATTTACTGTCATAAATTCATCAAAAAATTAAGTGTATCGGTACTATAATATAGCGTTTCATCAAAGTATGGGTCTGATTCGTATTTGCGTCACATTGGTTCTGATTTATTTCCGGCGCCAGTAACGTTATACGATCCTATTCTAAATGGAACTAAAGTTACGTGCATGCTCACTATGTATTCTTATAAAGAGCATTTTACCGGTATTAGTGCCATATGTTACATGTATATTTTTTATTTGTGTCTTATATAAGCCAGGTTGCGTAATTTTGCACTGGTTGACTATAGTTTTATCAAAGTCGTATTTAAATAAAAGCTGACTAAGGTTCTCTATTTTGCGACTTAACAGTGTCGAGGCATTCTTGCTTACATATCGGAAACGATATTTTGGTGCAACTATATCTAATTTTCACCATTTGTACTTAATTATATTTACTTGGTATATACTTTGTTAGAGTCTATTTTAGACCGCCTTTTGGTGTAGAGTGGTAATGTCTTATCGTTGTCACGGTAATTTAAAAAAGTTACATTTGCTTATTCTTTCTCTATTTCAAACCACGATTTTTATGCATATGCTATGATCTCGTAAAGTCGTATATTTATTTAAAACTTAATTGTCTCAAGCCTTACCCTTGAATACTTCCACATTGTAATTTTGGTGCGGCTGCTATTTATTACTTAATTTTCTTTTCGATTAGTATATAATGTACCTAAAGTCCGAACTATTAGAAGCATTATACTACTTTTATCAAAGTATCCTTCAAATTAGATACCAGCCTTTATCGTGGTGTAATGGTAACATCTTATCTTTGTTGTGACATTTTTTTAAATGGACGTTTATTTTTAAAATTACTTAATACAATTTTTATAAAATGGCAGGATTTGATTGTTGTTCTACCATACCAACGTAACCCTTGTGCTACTGGATCATAATTTTTGGTGTTTTGCTCATTATCTAAGTTATTAATTCAATATCACTTTAGCTGGCATTAAGATCTTATGCTGTCTGTTTTCTCAACGATTTCTAGTGATAAGTAATGGATAAAAAAAGTATGTAGGTACCCTACCTAGTAAGTTTCAGTGAAACATATTTCTGAATCTCATTTCAATACATCTCTTGTTTTCATAATTCGTTCTGGACTTAATTTCCGTTTTTCAGTCACATGGCTTAATTACTATCACTAAGTTAAGTTTACTGTGCTATAAGTTCCTCAAGTGGCATCTGACGGCCATGATGAATACGCTTCCAACAGCAGCGTCGATGTTAGAAATAATCAATATTGCAAACTCGGATTCGAATCTGACGGCGCTTCCACACTGCACACTTGCGGCTGAAGTTGCGCTGAACCCTCCCCCTCTTTCACCTCTCGCCCTGCAACACCCTCGCGCTAGAAAATTGGGTTAAACAGAATGCCGCTGAATGCGGCACCGGAAGAGGGGATTTTAGGGGGTCCGCGGAACTGCGCTTCTACAATGAATGCGGGACAGAGATGTGACTCGAGTATTGATTGTCTTTCATGTTGAGACGAAATTTTCTGTGGATTGTTATTACTTCACAGACCTTTCTAGTGATCTTTAAGAGTAATTTGAAAAAACATATAATACATAACAAAAAAAGAAACTATTTTACTTTAAGCAGTTTGATGCACAATTTAATGATTTAATTTTTTTTGCTCATTATGCGTACGTGTGTTTCCTGTTATTATAACGTTTGCAGCATATGTTACATTAAAAATGAGTTGCGACGTATTATTGTCATTTACACATTTCCATTTACATGAAATTTATTTTTATCTAATTTTGTTTACCAATTGGAGTGTTTACCTACAAGTCACCTATGTTGCCAGCTCGCTAACTTTCCACTCGATGCTGCGCGCGCTAAAAATAACCGACAATAAGCAGCGCAGGCAAATCATTGGTTGATTTACAAATTGATTTGTGACTAGTAGTATTAATTTCCATTAGATACGGCGTCGTTGGCATGTGAAGTTCCATGTCATCAGAAATTTCTTTGTGGTTTATAAAATTTAAACCTACAATAATTAATATTTTATCCGATCTAAAATAATATAACTATTGCCAATCATTTCTTTGTCAGCAATATGTGAAACTTGCTTGTCTATATCACGTGGTCGTCTTTTATATTCCTTATCGCTAATTTGATCCAATCGAATGCGTTGTGCTCCTAAGCTACTTTAGTTGCGAACTTAGCTCACGAACGAAGTGTAGTCGCAGTGATCGGGAGAGGAGGGGGGAGAGGCACCGAAGGGAGTACAGAGCGGCAACGTTACGGTCTTAAACCCTCTATTGGCAGGCCCGGAATTAGGTCGTCACTAGAGTGTTTTATGCTAATACGCTCCGTTCGTATATCTCTCTGACCATACTAAACTGACACTTGGCCCACGACTGTGTAATTATTATGTGCAGGTACCTACTTGTCTTACCTAGTTCGTCGAGTTGATGAAAGCATTCCTCAAAACCAGCCATGCATACTGGCGCAGTACCATATCCAGTTATTACAGAATCGTTAATACGATTATGACCACAATACAATCTAACCCTAACTTATTTTTATCTGTATTTTCTTATGCAATGCGTTTTTAAAGTAACTTAATCAATCAATGATTTATTTGAACTCTATCGTAAAACTGTAACTGTGTCTACCTAAAAATGTAACATATAAAGTTCTTATGTTTCATTTACAATCCATTTTTACGTAATTGCATCTTCCTAAGCAGGGGTGCTTTTGATAGCTAACGATTTATTCTTAAGTTTTTCTTTCACGGTTCTTGAACGTACGTTTATCTTTATTATTTGCTTTCTCCATTAAGTGGTTTTAAAGTTGTAGTATAATTTTATTTTTCTACAACTATTTCAGCCTCAAGCGCAGTTGTTTTTCAAACAGCATTATTCAATTCAATAAGGTTTTATTTATATACTTAATCGTTTATATTCTGCAAAGGTTCAATAATGCATAAGAATTGTATTCATTCAGTAGCCTTGTACATGAGCCTATCAACATAGCTATGTTTATCGCGCGCGCTTGCTTGGTTGATATTATAATACATTTAGGTACACCTATCAGTGTTTATGTTGGTACATCGCGGCACAGACGCCTACGTAACACGTCCAGTAAGCAGTTTGTTGTGGGGCACGAGCGCCGATATCACGTACTCACTCGCCGCAGGTCGGTGGCACTCCGCCCGCCACCCGTCACTCGTTGCTACCTCGGCGGGAATAATCGGTCAAGTTGATTTCGTATCCATCACTTTGAACAATTTTCTTATGGTTATCGTGAAAGCAAAACTACAAAACCTGTCGCATCAAACAATTAATGTTAAACTGAAAATAAAACGTCTGGTGCCGAGCCGCTTCACAGTCTTGCGTAGTCGAAACGTTCAGTGCAAAAATCACAATTGGTCAACATTTAACAACAAGCATGTTCGCAATCGTGGGCTGTTGACCTGCTGCAAACTCGCTTGGCTCTGCGAATGTGAACGAACGAAGCAAACGATCTTTTCCGTCGACTAGTTTGTGAAATCAGCGTGTAATGTATACAATGAAAATTTATTGACATTGTTATGATGTGGCATTTTGTGAGCAGGGAAATATTTTGAAATAAATGACAATACTTTCGACCTTGTATCCTTGTAAAATGGCGCCTCACCCGTCATTATTATTATTACATTCGGAGCAAACTTCGTGACGATCTCCGCTCCCCTCACTCGTTGCTCGCCGCCGCCGCCGCTCCCTCCCCGCGGATGCGTATCCGATCCGATTGTCGCGACTCTGGCTGGCGTTTCGTATACAACTTGTCAAACTAGTTAGGTTATTTAGATGATTGAAGTGAAACTGCTGCAGATAATGGCCAATATGGACGTACTATTTAAGACGTAATTTGTAAGTATCGTGGGGCATTATTATTAAGAACATAGGAACAAGTCGTGAAAATTCAAGTAAACCTAGGCGAGTCATATGTAAAGACGCCATCTTTCTTTCTTTACAGATGTCAGCTGGGTCACAAATTCAGATGGCACCACAAACTACTGTCAACACGGGGCAGCCACTACACAACCAGGATTCCAATATGAGCACAGGTAATTGGTGTTTTAGTGCAGTGAAATAAAAAGTTTGTGATGTGACTTGTGCATCAAGTGTTTACTGCAAGTGCAAGCCGGTTTCGAAGGTTAACCTTACGTGAATTTAGTGATGAATCTTCTTATTCCTGATGAAAATTGCAATGAACTGATTGAGTGACGTCACGTTATGTATGATGCCGGATAGGAATCGTGAAAGTGCTGTTTTTACTCCCAATATCCGACCCTATAGCGTGCCACAATGCATGATCATAAAAATGGCTCTGTAACAAACCTCGTCGGTCTACTGAGCGTCTTGGCAAAAAGTGAGTTAGTAATTATTTAGATTGTCACTTGCTAGGACTTTTATAAACTTTGGTGTGTAAACAAAGTAGTATACCTATGTTTTGTATGATGGATAGTGTGGGTATATTTATTATTTTTATAATCAGCAGCTTTTACATAACTGCTATTATGTTATTTAAATAATTATTTTATAAATAGTTGAGGTTCTACCTACATAATTTATTTATAAAAATCTTAAGTAATGACACAAAACTTAAAAAAAATAATTTAAGACACAAATCTCTAAAAATGTATTAATTTGGCTGTTTATAAATAAATCTTTGCCTTAAATATGAAGAACTGGAACCACCAATGTTTGACTTTTTGTGCTTTTACATTGCACAAAAATTGATTGGAAAGCAAATTGCAAATATTTTGAGTGTCTAAAATGAAGAAAAAGAAAAACAAAAATTGTGAGATAGACTTATTTCTTTCAAATGTTAGTAAAAATGTAAGTTTGAAGAAATGAATCATTAATTGTTGCATTTCAGGGTCATCACATAGTGATAAAGAAGTAGATGCAGTGACCCCTGAGAAATCTGCAGCTATGCGAGGTTCTACTGTCGTTGCCAGCACAGCCTTGGTCCCACCTAGTGGTGCCACACCTACTATTGCTATGCCAGAGAGGAAAAGAAAACGAAAAGGTACTTGTTTACATTTAATTGCCTCCATAGCCAAACATTTACCATGCTGGTCTGCCACGCATAGGTCCCGGGCTCAATTCCCGAGCTGGGAGGAATATTTCTAAGGCCTACATTTATTTCTCTTGTGACTTTGGGTGTAATTTGTGGTTGTCTATATGTCTATGGCACCCCCGATATAGGGTTTCCTTAGTGCTAGCGGCTAAGGATTGTGTGAAAAACAAAAAATATATATTATATTGAATTAGTGTAACTGTTCATAGCACAGGATCCCATTTAGGTCTCTGCCTTGCACACATGTCTTTCTAACTGTACAAGTATTGGTAGATTTTAGCAATTTACAAAAATGTGTTGGGTAGTTAGACCAGATACAGATATTGTTAGCATAAAAATATAGAGATAAAATTATATTAATTAAATTGATATTGTATAATTAATGAGTGACATAAGAAAACCTTATAATTATTAGGTTTCTTATTTTTGAATGTAGTGAGGTTTTTTGTTTACTCTTATGTTACATACATATGTGTATGATTTTCTTAAAAGCGTTATTGACCATTATTTTTTATAAATCTGGAAAGGTTTTTCATTTCAATTTACTCAATAATTTAATGATGTCCTGTGGGTAATTTATATTTATACCAAACTGCTCCATTTGTTCTCCTAACTTTGTAATAATCTCTTAATTAACCATGCCAGTTATCTTGTTTCAACCTAGAAAATCCGTGACACTAGCAACTAACTAGATATTACCCAGTACACGCAGACCAGAACAAATATTTAGTTTGTATGCCAAATTCATCCTACAGAAATTCCAACTCGGGACCTTTTCTGGCAATGCAGGGCAAGCAAATGAGGGTTGTTTAACACTGCACCAACGAGCTTGTGAACTAATTGTTCGATTACTCATATTTTGGATGCCATTGACTTTTTGATACTTGTATATCCTAAGCTTGTTTTACAAAACACATTACAGGAAACAAATAAAACATTTATTGCTTACAGAAGTTCCATAGTGTGCAATGTTTGTTAAAAACGAAATTATGTTGTTAAATTTAAACCTTTTATTCTGTTTTGTGTTCTTACTATTTCTGGACTATCTTCCATCACGAAAATTATCACTTAGGGCGTGTTCCCATTATGTCATGACGACAGATAGTCGTGTAGACTTTTTTGACGTTACGACGACAGACTGTCGTGACAATGGGAAGAGCTAGAACGGCTGTCGTCAGACGATAAATAAAACGTTACGATAAAAATGTGACGACAGATAGTCGCAGCTTCAAACGATTCTGTCGTGCAGATACCCGATCAATTGTTACGATGTAGTGGGAACAACTAAACACAACAGTCGTTCAACGATAAAATAAACTTCCATGACACAGTTACAACAGATAGTTGTGATATGGGAACAAGCTAGACGCGACAGTCGTTCAGCGAAAAATAAAATGTAGTTGCTATCCGTTTTATGTTTATGAGATCTAATAATATACCAATAATGACTAAAGAAACCATTACGTAATTCCTAAAATAATGTGTTTTGTACATAGAATACAAACAGATATACCACATAATTTGTATTTGAAGTAAGTTAAATATGTATGTAACATGAATTAGCGTTTTTATCAAACCATTGATGTCGTTGAATTTGCAGGAGAAGAGGGCGTCGGTGGCGGCGGAGGAGGCGGCGGCGGCAAGCAGCGTCACAATTCAGACAAAAACATCCGGGAATATTTCTCTAAGCATCCTTCCTCCAGCCCCGTACGGCTAACCGGCGCCAAATCCCCTTCACCTAGCTATCCAATGGTCAGTTTTCATATACAAACACGAACAATATAAATGTATGTGCGTATCATTAAGTTTCTATCAGTTAATCGTCAGGATCGTAGCAAGTGAGCTGTAGTCTATGGCTACTCCGACGCTGAAAAGTGCATGAAGCGTATGATGTATATATCGCAAATCGAAGAGTTCATTTGTAGAAGAAAAGTTACTATTTTACAGAGTCATGATTGTTACCGAGTTTGTAGTAACAACAAAGCAAAGGGAAAGTGTAAGTAACCAAAGAAGAGATAAGATTGAAAACCGGGTATTTTTAAATATTAATAAGACAGTGGAATATTAGGAGCGCAATTTTCTTTTTGCCTAAAGAGATACATTACGTACTGAGATGATACACAAAACAAATATTTTTGGAAATCAAATTTTGTTCAAATGTAATGATATTATTACAAAATGTTTATTGCTTGCTTACATATTTCGTCTTTCTCTTGAATAGATTCGCTTGAAAATCGCATTGAAATTAATCTATACAAAAACTCGTTATATATATTTATATATCATCTCATATATATATGAGATGATATATATATATTCATCATCATCATCATCATTCAGCCATACGACGCCCACTGCTGGGCATAGGCCTTCCCCAACGATCTCCACGGTACTATCGGTCCTGCGCTGCCCGCATCCATCGGCTTCCCGCAACCTCCAACAGATCGTCGGTCCACCTGGTGGGGGGCCTACCCACTGACATAGTGGCGTTTTTGTATAAGTACCTTAACACCTCTATATACATATAGTCTATTTGGCACCTTTGGAGAGACTGCAGCACCGCCCAGGTCTCCATCGAATCGAAGGCCTTCTCATAGTCCACAAACGCTAAGCAAAGTGGCCGGTTATACTCCTCAGTCTTCTGTATAACCTGCCGCAGCGTATAGATGTGGTCGATGTACTAAAACCCTTTCGGAAACCGGCTTGTTCGGGAGGTTGGAAGTCGTCAAACCTGCGAGCGAGACGATTCGTGATAACTCTCGAAAACAACTTATAGATATGGCTCAGAAGCGAGATTGGCCAATAGTTCTTCAAGAGTGTTTTATCACCCTTTTTGAAGAACAGAACGACCTCGCCTCTGCCCCATGCCTTCGGCGTTTGACCTTCGACGATGACAGAATTGAAAAGCTTCTGAAGGACTTTAAGTATCGGCGTGCCGCCCGCTCTCAGAAGTTCTGTAGTGAGTCCATCATCGCCCGCCGCTTTGTTGTTTTTGAGATGAGAGCCACACTAATCTCATACAGGCTGACGTCCGGGATATCTTCGGTATAATGTCCGTATAATGTGTTCGGTGTAATATATATATATATATAGGGTTACAGGAAAAGTCGTGCTAGATCCGTTAAGGGCGTGGAGTACTCATCATTTCTGACTTATTTTACTATGAAACACCCTACCCTAAACTTAACCCTTTTCGAGATATTTGACTTTTATTTTTTTTATTCAAAATTGCCGATTTTTAGGCTACTAAATTTAATTTTGTTTATTTTGTGTGTCTTATTATTATAATTATTGCATTTTTACATGTGTGATAAGATGCTTTAGGACCTCAATCATTAAAATAGTGAATAAGTTAATTCAATACGCCGTAGTAGAAAAGAGAAAGTTAAGAAATTAAAAAAAAAATTAGAAAGTTTCTTTTTCTCTAAGGGATATCTAAAAAAAATATTATGGCAGTTGATCGGCAGATAAGTTATAAAATATCTACGTTTCATCAGCTATCTAACAAGGTATAACAATCTAGGGTTTTATTTAAATGCATTGAAAAAACTTAGTTTCATAGGCGATAGTGGAGGAGAAAATTAATACTTAGCCCTAAAAAGTATAACAAAACAATAGGTAAGCATGCAAAGTATTTATTAAATCAGGTTTTCACACAACTTTTTGTTATTCTACAGTTCATGTTCAACATGGCCGCCTCTGTTTCTAATACATTGTCGCATTCTTCTACGGAGACCAGTCTTCACTACTCCAGTGGTCAACGTTGTCCTCATTTGATTTGCTGCATCCACAATCCTTTCTTTTAACTCTTCCACAGACGAAACTGGATTTGACTCGCTGTAGACAAGACTTTTCATGCGCCCCCACACATGAAAATCCATGGGGGTTAGGTCCGGACTTCTTGCTGGCCATGGCAACGGCCCACCTCGTCCTATCCATTTGTTTGGATAATTTGTGTCCAGCCAGTCTCTGACACTTCTCCTGAAATGGGCAGGGCAGCCATCATGTTGGAACCACATGTCCCTGATCAAGTTGAGTGGCAGATCATCCAGCAAATCACTCAAGTCTCCTCTCAAAAAATTTTCGTAACTTTCCCCATTTAGATTGTCCGTGAGAAAGTAAGGTCCAATCAAATGATTGGAGATAATACCCATCCACACATTCACGCTGAATCTTCGTTGGGAACCCTTCACTCTTTTCTTATTGGGATTCCTAAGTTCTTTTGGGGCCCAGTAATGCGCGTTGTGATAATTAGTTATGCCATCTTTATCAAATTTGGATTCATCTGTCCACAAGATATTTCTTAGAAAATCTGGGTCTTCTACGTCAGCATTTAGCATAAATCTGCAGAAGTCCAACCTTCTCGCCGGGTCTCCTTCTTCAATAGTGTGTACCGGCGTGTAATGGTACGGGTATAGGCCAGCAGTATGCACTGTAAACCACACTCTCCATTGCGAAAGTCCCAGATCACGGGCAACAATATTAGTGGAAGTAGTCGGATCCGCTCGAAAGCGTTGCACTATCTCATTGTCCTGTTCTTCGTCGTCATTAATTCGTGGTCTGCCCATGTCTGTATTTCGTCTCAAAATAGAGCCAGTTTCTCGAAGTCTCCGATAAACTCTGTCAAAAATAGCCACATCCGGCACTTGACGACCGGGGAATCGAGCTATGTATTCGTTGCGAGCTTGCGCAGACACACAATCGCAGTATCCGTAACAAATAAGCATATCAGCATATTCCTCAGGTGTGTACGACGTCATCTTCAACACTTCCGTAGCACAAGTACAAATCAAAGTCCGGTTAACAAGCACAGTAGTCACAAATCGGAAAAAACAGTCCAGAATCACAGCCAAGTCAAGAAAAAGAGCAAAACGATATCACATCTACTATGTACGAAGCACAAAAGCAGACTGGCAAACAAAACAATATCCCGTGATATCGCTACAATATTTTTTCTTTCATTCGCACCTACATAAACCGTCGCTTGTCTCACTCGCACGGTGCGTCTTAACTTAAGGACAATAGGCGCGGGACCGTTAGAACTGCTACCTGGAGCGTCCCAACTACTTTTTTTTCCACGAAATGCAATACAAATCCTAGATTGTTATACCTTGTTAGATAGCTGATGAAACGTAGATATTTTATAACTTATCTGCCGATCAACTGCCATAATATTTTTTTTAGATATCCCTTAGAGAAAAAGAAACTTTCTAATTTTTTTTTTAATTTCTTAACTTTCTCTTTTCTACTACGGCGTATTGATATAACTTATTCACTATTTTAATGATTGAGGTCCTAAAGCATCTTATCACACATGTAAAAATGCAATAATTATAATAATAAGACACACAAAATAAACAAAATTAAATTTAGTAGCCTAAAAATCGGCAATTTTGAATAAAAAAAATAAAAGTCAAATATCTCGAAAAGGGTTAAGTTTAGGGTAGGGTGTTTCATAGTAAAATAAGTCAGAAATGATGAGTACTCCACGCCCTTAACGGATCTAGCACGACTTTTCCTGTAACCCTGTATATATATGATATCTAATAAATATATGTTTTTGTATAGATTAATTTTTGTAGATTTAATTATTAATAGTTTGTGTGTTTGACACACACACACACACTTGACTTGATACTTGAGTCAGTTTTCATAAAATTCGAATCGTAATGTGCATCCTTAGTAGTAAGTGAGAGTCCATAGGATTGCAAGATGGGTATTGTGCGGAGTTGCCTCTTTTTCGTCTAAATAAGTAATATTTTTGTACCAAATTCCGTATTCGCCATTTTTGCCCACGGTTTTGTTCAGAAATGGGTTGAACCCCGTTGCTTTAAGTAAAAACCCCGTTAAAAACCAGGCGGGTTGTTTGGGTTTTCATTTTTATTACGTCTCCGTCCGAAACAATTATTGTCAAAAAAGTAATACTCGACCAAATTAAAAGGCGCATGATGCGAGTGAAGCTTCATACTTGACATTATCGTTTGATTTGGTCGAGTAGAGTATCACTTATTTGACAGTAATTAGTTCGGACAGATGTCGGACGGAGAACGAGAGTAGACAGACCAACCAAACCTTACGATAACTCAGTTGTTGACCGATTCGATTTGATATCGTACGATTTATTTTAATTTTTATTCACAACACCCGAATCGAACTTCAAACTGTCGTATTCAAAACCGAACCGAAATGACATCACACCCGTACGATTACTGGAACTTCTCGACCGACAAAGGCTACACAATTTTGCTCAGAACACAGTTATCGAATGATAGTTACCGAATGTCCTATTGTTTACAAAGCAAGAATTAATATGGAAAAATCTCTTATTATTTTAAATAAAGTCTGAATTTAGTTCAATTTTATTGATTTATTTTAATGCAAGATTAATGCATTCCTATATTTTAGGCCTTTGAAGTCTTAAAAATGTATATAAAAGGATTTTTCTTCTAATCTATTTCACCGACTAAGCGTTTACGAAGTTAGTCGTAGATATCGTTGTCCAACAGGATAACGATATCGTAACCGAATCGAACGTGTAACTCGAATGTTCACTTTCGTTGTACGTACTTTCATAAAACAAGGGTTTGAACCATTTTCAACAAACATTATAAGCTATTGGAGGAGTCAGAAACGTTGAAGTATAGGGAATATGAATGTATGTAATGTTGTATGTGAATATTTTAATACTAAGTGTACATCAGCCCAAACCCGGCTATAACTAATGTAATCGACATTTTTAGCGAAATTTTAGCGACATTATCTGGAATCAAAATTCAAAATAATCTTTATTTCATAGGTAAACATTATTACACTTGAAATCGTCACAATGGTTAAACTCTACCGCTCATTCGTAAGGCAGATTCCCCTGAGAAGAATGAGTTAGAAACTCTAGTTGCTCTTTCTAAATAACATTTGTACACATTCAATATTTACAATATATATATATATTTATTTGAAACATCAGAGATCGAGACTACCTCCATGACCTAAATGGGTTACTACCACGGATTTTTGTCATCCAAGTACGCAGAAGTTGTATAATAACCTTTAGTATAAACTGTTTGTTTCACTACAGTTTTAAACCTCGTGAAAGGCAAATTTTGTATATCAACCGGAATCTTGACGTATAATAGCATACATTGCCCCTTAAATGATTTTTTGACTTTGTGAAGACGACTATCAAGAACAGCTAGTTTATTTTTATTCCTCGTATTAATGTTATGTCTGTCAGTCACTATTTTACATAAATAAATTACTATTCCTTTTAACATAAATTACATTTTCATAAATGTACTGTGAGGCTAGTGTAAAAATGTTAATTTCCTTAAACTTATCTCTCAAAGATACTTTGGGGCCCAGATTGTAAATTGCCCTAACCGCACGTTTCTGCAGGACAAAGATTCTATTCATATCGGCGGCCTTACCCCAAAGCAAAAAAATCGGCGAAAGGAGATGTGCAACCTCTATAAACGGCTATTTAATCATTTATTTAGTTTCAGTGTTATGGTTATAGTCCATTTCACATAGGATGGGTACTATGTCATTTCAAATTTTTATGTTGCTTGCATACTATTTTTAACTCATCTCTCAACCAGGTTACAAACAGAAATATTAAATTTATTATAATTATATACCAAAAACAAACAATTTTACGCACCCCTCATGGAAGAATGGTATAAGTGGAATTATGTCAAAAACTTTTATTGCTCCATTAGATACAGAAAAATATAACCTACATTCTCTCAAATTTTTGTAACTCTAGCGACTAGTATTGTAGATAGAGTTACAAGAATTGGAGAGGATGTGGGTTATATTTTTTGTATCATGGAGCAATAAACATGTTTGACATAACTCCACTTATGCCATTCTTCCATGAGGGGTGCGTTTTGTTGCAGTTCTAATTTTAAGTAAAAATTACTCAGCTAATTATTGTGTACCTCATATCAAATACTAGTGCTTACACCTTGTATACGAGTCAATTTCTTTTGTTTTGAGCTTTAACTAACATTTTTGGAGTAATTATTCAAATTTCGTTTCATCGCCCTAGATTTTATGCTTTGTTGTTGACTTTTTGTTTGTTGTGTAGTTTTTTTGTAAATAACATAATAATTGAATCCTTTTTATTTTATTTATTATTTGACAATAATTTAATAAAATTATTGCCTCTAAATCTATTCTCTCTTCGTTACAAATGATTTTGATAACATATTTAAATCGATTGTTTTCATTCGATTTTACGTCACTGCATCTCTGGAAATTTCAAATCTCAAACGTCACCGTACCCACGCCACAATATGTGAAATGAACTTTAAGCATAATCAATGTAATTGACATTTTTCAAAGAAAAAAAATTGAGGTGCCAATACCTCGAAAAGTTACCAAACTGCAAATGCGTTACTTGTGTGACAAGGAGGGCAGACACATTTTCCTTTGATAATGCAAAAATGTGTGTGACATTTGCTTTCACACAAGGCTTTAACTTGGCAATTCAACACACATCGTAATCTTTTCTTCTTTTCTTCTTTTCAATTAAATTCTATTACTTTGTTGTGTATTTAGTATGTTGTTTAAACTTCAAAAGTTTAGTCTAAAGCACGTCTTTTTTTTGTTTTTCTTGTACACAGTACCCACCGTCACCCTCATCATTGCTGCCTTCGGGAGCCGACTTCTTACGATCGGCACCGCAGCAGCGACCTCTCACTTCTGCTAAACAGGTGTGTTTTTTCTCTAATTATTACATATCTATTGTCTATGTTTCTCTTGTCTATTTTTTTATAATTACTGGATCGTCCTAGTGCCCAAACCAACATCATTTTTATCATTTTCTCTATTCATTATGCCAGTTCATTTCATATACAGGCTTTAAAAACATGGAGACTTAATCCTCCAAATCCTTAGAGATATGTGTATTTATAGTTTTTGGGTCAGTCTTATAAAGTTTGTCGACCTCAAATGTTGGCAACTATGTGTTAAACAACTAGTATCTGGATATATACCATGACGCGTGCTCTTCGATATGCAGTCTTCTTTGTAATGATCATTCATTATTATATATTAACCATGGACCAATAACTCAAGAGGACTGCTAATCGTCGTACAAGATAGCGTAGCCGGGTATTTAGTACCTATTGGTACACTAGATGTCGCGACGATTACCAAATAGCTATTTTGTAACGTTATTTTACATTGACACATTGATTCTATCAAATCTGCTTCTAGTGATAACAAACACGTCAACTAGATGGCGCTATATTTTTCCTCAAAATGGATATGCACCTGGAGTCGTATACAAATACATTGTAAAAAAAACAATCGCAACTCACAACGTTTCCATCCTCTAAATAATAACTAGAACACTACTTTGTCTATTCTAATGCCATTTAGACATATTGATAGTTTAGCTTAAAATTATTCATATTTCAATGTTACTGGGTGTAAGAAGCGAGAAAAAACAATGGCTACGGTGATTTTAGGCTGAGAACACCGAACGTGCGAAATAATATTTTTTAATTTTATTTGTAATTCCAAGAAGTATGATATCGCAGATATTGCATTGGTCCCAAAGGGTCATATCGGAACGCCACACAGTGGGCCCAAATTGATAATTCTTGGACATAGGAATAACTTGTGGAGTATCGAGCAAATTTTTTTTATGTGATATATAATAACATTCCTAACAACTTTTATTCTTGTATGATTTCTTGAAAAGTTGATAGATTCAGAGAAAAAAAAATTTTTGTATGGACAAATATACATTTTATTTTTTATCTCAAAATATACGAAAATCTAATGTGCGTGGGTTACTTACAGTATAGTTCCCATCATTTTCTATGTAGAAAAAAATAATCCGTCT